AGAAGGAAATCTCAGAAATAAAACAGTAATCAATCAAGCAGGTAAAAGGAAGGAGTAAGGAAGATCTCACGGCGTGTCCCGCTTTCAGTTACTTGTTTCTCAGGCTCTTTACCAATGCCGACAGTGGCGGTCACAGTGACCAAAGTTTAATCGGAGTTCCGGATTGCGAAACAGCGAGGCGTAGGCGTGGCAGTTGAAATAGATAATTAGAAAAGGAGAGGACGCAACCGAACTCTCAAGTGTTGGTAAAAATCAACATTTAGCCTCTTATTTTTTAAAATTGATAGGTTTTAGTCATTTATATTATAATATGACATTTTTAATCCTTTACCTTATAAATTTGGTAGATTTTAACTCATTATCTTATAAAGTTAGTAGGTTTTAACTCCTCACTTTATATTATAACATTTTTAACTCCTCATATGTACAAATTAAAAAAAATAACCCTCACTTAATATCAGGTTATAACAGTCTTATATATCTATTAGCTGACTGTTAATTTCCCTTAGCATTTCATTATAGAAAATATGAAATTTAAATTCAATTTTATTTATTAGTTTCATTAACGAAATATTAACGGATACTAACAGTCAGTTAACAGAACTGACAATCAGTTAATAGAACTAATTGTCAGTTAATAAAACTAACAGAACATTATAACCGATGTTAAGTGAGAGTTAGTTTCTTGAATTCGTATAGATAAGGGATGAAAAGTGTCGTAGTATAAGGTAAAGGGCTAAAACCTACCAATTTTGAAAGGTGATGGGTTAAAATCTATTAATTTTGTAAGGTAAAGGACCAAAAATGTCATATTATAAGGTTAACGGTTAAAACCTACCAATTTTGTAAGGTGAGGGCTAAAATTGTTTTAGCCCAAGTGTGTTTATCTATTAGGGAAAACCCCAAATTTACATATAAGTCCCTAAACAAAAAATGATGCAATAAGCCACTCGAATGATGCAAATAGCCCCCAAATCCCTCCAAAAATGTAAATTAATTCTTATCATTAATAGTGCAACGCATGTGACCTCATGTTATTTATTTTTCTATTTATTTGTTCTCACTTTTTACATAAATTAAAAATTCTTTGGGTAATAAAAATCCTCTTAAAATGGTTTTCGTTGCCTAAGAATACTAAATAAAAAAGGAATATGTGGGTAATTTTGAAGGATTTGTACGATCTAATGTGTCTTTTTATTCATACTAGCATTTATGTGAAAAAATAAAACCAAGTTAAAGAGAAAAACATATGATGTGAGATTACATGTATTGGGTTATTAATGATAAGTGTTGATTTGTATTTTTTGAGGGATTTAAGGGTATATTTGTATCATCGAGGCGTTTAAGGAGTTATTTGCACTGCTTTTAGTTTAGGGGTTTATGTGTTAATTTGGAGTAAGTTTGGGGCTTAAGAAAGGGTTTTGTCATTAAATTAATGGGAGAAACTACAAAATATATCCGAAGTTTTTTTTTTTTTTTAATATCTCCTTATTATGAAATAAAAGGAAAGTATATAGATAACAAAGTAACGTACTGTTTGGATAGAAAATAGTAAAGGGAAGGGAAGGGAAGGGAAGGGAAGGGAAGGGAGGGGGACGGAGGAAAATAGAAGGAAATGGAGGGGAAGGAAAGGAAAGGGAAGGGAAGAAAATGGAAGGAAATGATTTGTGTTAATTTTGTTTGGATAAATAAAAATGAGGAAAGGGAAAGGAAGGGAAGGATTGTATTTTTTATGTTTGGATAATTAAGGTAAAAGGAAAGAAAGGATTTAAATTAATTTTAAATTTATAAATTTACCCTTTAAAAAGGAGGAGGACAATTTATGATAATAGATAAAAAAGTTAATTTTGTAATTATCTTTAATCTAATCTAATCTAAATAACCCTGCAATCCCTCCACAACCCCTCAAATCGGGAGGATTGCAAATCTGTAGGGTTGAGGGTGGTTGAAAGGAGTCCGAATCCGTCGATCTCCCTCCCCTTTTGCCTCTTCGAAAACCCAAACAAGAGGAAGGGGACAACTTCCCCTCACTCACCCTCCCTCATCATCCGTCCCCATCCCTTCCCCTCCCTCTCCGTCCGATACCTCCAATCCAAACAAAGGCTAAAAGTGAGAATTTCTTATTTGATTATGTACTTTTTCAAACATTTATTATATAATTTGTAAGTTTATATATAGGTTAATTGTTATTGAATAGAATTAAATGGGGAATGAATGGCACTATAAAACCTACTTTAATTGGACTGTAACTGATTTTTAGTAAAGTCATGAATCATACCTTGATAGGGTTTTGAATTACCCTTAGTCAAATGAGTTATTAAAAAAAATAAATGTAAAAATAAATCATCCACTTGTAAGAGGTTTTGAATTAATTTTAGTTATTTTTATTAAAATAAATTATAATAATAATAAAAAAAAAAAGAATACGAAGGTGAAGCATTTACCATTAAAAAAATTCACAATACTACTAAATTTAGTGCACTTTTTCCTAACAATTTAACCCTACAACATCACGGCTAGCAATTAGATTGGTTTGACTTTTTGTGAGGATTTTTTTGACTTTTTGTGAAGAGATATAATATTCTTAACCTGCGTTTAGGTTGGTTAATTTTTTATAACAAAGACAATCAAGATGTACTTCTATCTTTCTTTTTTTTTTCTCTCTCTCTCTCTTTGGGGGTAGAGACAAACCAATTTTGATGGTGTTATGTAAATTATATGACATAAATTCTCATAACAATTACAGTTTCTCTTAATATGCATTCTTGAGAAATTCATAACACATGAATTAAGCAAACCTACGACAATAGAAAATTTTATTATTGTGCTTATTTCTGAGCCTTTACATATGGCAACACAAAAGATTTTTAAACCATAATGCCATTCTTTCCTTTTCATAAATTCCCACAATCTAACCTACATTTTTTTTTTTTTTGGGATGAAATAGGATTGTGAGAATTTGTTTTAAGAACAATATTACCTAAATTAAAAGAAACTGAAACGGCCACAGAGTTTATAACAAAGGCACACACGTTGCGCAATTGCGTCATCACCCCTTCCCTTCTTCTTCTTCTTCTTCTTCTTTATGTCATCCATTTCTTCTAAACCTTAATTTGTCTAGACTTGCTTGCCGCCATGATGGAAAGCAGCAGCAACAAAATGACTGAACAGTAACCGAATGCAGAGGAAATTGTCACTCTCTTGCAGAACTTGGACATGTTATCGCAGATTGGCATCCACCCGGCATGGCTGTTCCCGTACCTGCCCACCAGCCCTATTGCTGTCGCGGCAGCTACACCCGAGAGCACCAGGGAGAACATGCACTGCAAACACAACCCAAAAACCAGTATTAATTCCTTGCCTCCCCTGTTTCTTCTTCTCTGTTTTTTGCTCTGCTTTTACCTCATTTCATATCAATATTATGTTTTACCAAAATCATGAATTTGAAGAAGAATTTGGCCATACCAAGTCATGGAGGAACAAGATGAAAAACCAACTAGGGGTTAATCCCTTACGACCGAAGATGAACAAGAATAACAAGGACACCGCTGTGAAGCCGCATGCAATGGCATTTGCATAAGAGAAAAACCTGAAAGAGCAAAACAACAACAATTGTAAAATCTCAAAATAACAGATTACACACAAAAACGTTCGATGTTATTTATTTCTGTTGATTTGCCTCTAGTGCTTACTTGAAAGCAGAGACATAGCTATATTTTGCCTCGAATGGCAACCCATAAACAATAGCAATTTCCTTGCTGGTCATCATCAGCCATGTAGCTGCCATTGTAGTCGCAATTGTCAGTATTCTCAAAGATGTCTGTGCTCCAAGGTGAAATTTCTGCGTGTTCAGAGCGTTCTCCATTATGCGTTGATAGAAAAACAGGGCAAAACCAGGGGAGATACTAGGAGAGAGAAAAGGAAATGGATATATAGAACGAGTATGGCCTTAACAGGGGGTGTTTATAAGAACCAAAATTATAGTGCTGTGTCTTTTTTATACATACAATGTTCATATGTCCCATGTAAAAGATTCAATCATAATTACAAATAATTACAAATAGAAAAAGTGTTTGGTAAGTTAATTTTTTTAATGCTATTTTAAAGAATTTGTTTAAATTTTTTTTATTTTTAAAAACTAATAGTTGAATTAAAAATTTTATTCATATAAATTATATATTAATTTTTAAATTATTCTATTAAGTGTAGTAATTTTGTTGATTATAAAAAATTTAACACTATTAATTATATATTAATCAATAAATTTTTTTTTATCAAAAAATTATAAGTGTTAGATTAATATAAAAATTAAAATATATAATTTATATAAATAAAATTTTTAATTTAATAATCAAATTTTAAAAATATTAATTAGAAAATATGATTTTAGACCGATCCTATAAAAGAATTTTGTGATGATGACTTACTTTACACCATCTTCATTACATATTGTGAGACTTAATTAGAGGATAATATTATAGACGAATGATTTGTATAATTATGTGTCCCACTAACATTATGGGTTAATTTGGTTATAGGCAAATATTTTTGGAAAAAGTTTTTATTAAGTAAGTTGTTGCAAAAGTATTATATGGAAAGTTATTAAGTTTTGTTATAATTATGTGAGACTGTTAATTTTTTGTTGTTTTGGGTAGGAAATTAATATAAAAACATTTAATAAAAGGAAAGTTACTAATTAGATCCAATATAAAAAGAGTTATTAAATGCACCTAATATAAAAAAAAATAGAAGGAAATTTTTTTCGTGTAAAAGAAGTGAAAAAAAAATTTACAAGTTTGGAATTGTGACATAACAAATAAAAACAAAAAATATCATTTTTACTTTTTATTTATTGCAATTTTAAGGTGTACAAATATTAAAATATCTTTATAAAATCTTAAAATATAATATTTTTCAGATAAAAGAAGCTAAATACTCTCTATTGAGAACGATCATTTGAGATAAGAGGTTTTTTTTTTGTTTAAATCTTGAATTATATAATAAAAGATAAATATATTTTATATTTTGATTTACCTTAAACATGTGATATAAATTTAAAATCCCTTTATCTTAGTAAAATGAGTCACTTGAGATGAAATAAAAGTTATTTTGAATAATTTTCGTGTCATGATATATTTTCACGAAAGTTACTAACAAGTTAGCTCCACAGACGGGACAGACCATGGCCATATCAAAACTTTGGTGTCCATATATTATCCCCATCCCCACTACCAAAACTTTGCCGAATTTTGATTGATATTGATGGACAGAAACTTTTGGTGATGAATTGGTGAAACCGAAGGCAAAATTTTCAGTATAGAGTTATCGTCCCTTCTGGAAAATATGTTTCTCATACGGACGCAAGAAAGAGAGGATGAAACGGCACGTTTCATAGCCATACATCCACTTGCCCAATTGGCCATATACTTCCATGGCTTTTTTGCAATCTTATTCTTCCCTTGTAAGAAAAAAAAACCCATATTTGCAAGCAATTTCAAAAATATCTCCTCCCTTTGTTCTTTATTCGAAAACCTAACAGCTCAAAGTTGTCAATCAGTCAAATGAGTAAAGTATTTTGTAAGTTAGGGTAATTCTTATTTTTATTATTGTGTTCTTATTTTATAATTTAGACTGTAAAATAAAAATCATTTGATAATGAAATAATTTTTAATATTATGAAATTCACATGTTATTTAATAATTTATATTATGTAGTTTAAATTACACAATAATTTTTTATTCATTATTCAATTGCTAACAAAATTTTTCTTTTTTATTTTTATTGTCTTTTAAAAAAAGGGAGTCGGTATAGTGGAGAACATAAGATATATCCTCCACACTTGATGATATCAATATAGGAGCACAATAAGGTCCCATATAATTTGGTGATGAGCTTTTCTTGTCGAGGGGAGATACCATTCTTTTAGATATGAAGTACACGACTACATATTACATCTTTCCCTTTCCCTTTCCCTTTCCCATCGGATAGATTGGAACAAACAAGAACTAATCATGGAAGTCGATAATTAATTGCAATTTTCGCTTCTGCTGATGGACCCTAACATTGTGTGGATTCTCAAGGTTATTTAGAAGATTTTTTTGGATAGAAAGGGAAAGAAAGAGAGTAACAGGAAGGAATGCCATTATCACCTAAGCTTCATATCAGTGCACCTAATAATGGAAGGTAAAACTCCATTGGACATTCATTTCCCCATCCCATATTGATTACATAGCTCAAGCTCAGAATTTGAGTCTATAAACAGATTACTGCTAATAGGTCGTTAGCATCTAGACCGAGCATGCGTCCACCTTAAATGAGTGTAAAGATTGATTTACGGATCATACAAGTGGGAGTTATGCACCCTGTACCTTTGCCTAATGGTAAGGGGAACATAAGACCTCAAAGTCAAGCTAATACTTCTGATCTAAATTTCAATAATGGAACATGTGAACTCCTGAACAACTTTGCCCGTCGTCTGGGGCAAGTTAAAGAAGATTGTCTCACTCTCATCAGAAACATTAATCCAGGATCTGGAAGACTCGGATGATGTCGATGTTTCCAGGACCTGGATAACTCAGAGTCTGATCGTTTTCATCTCGTACCAGAGCAATGATCAATGCAGGACCTAAGGAAGGGCAGCTAGTCAAATGGTAAAATCAGCATACATGCGGGTCCTGGTATAACATTCCCCGCTTCTAATGTTTTGTTTAAAATGGGTAGAGGGATTAAATGATAGGTTAAACCCCTATTTTGGTCCCTCAACTTTTGTATGGACTCTTAAGTGAGTCCTTCAATTTAAAAAATCCTTGATTTAATCTTTAAAATTTGATATTTTAGACCCAACTTGGTCCCTCCATTAATTTTTTGCTAATGTAGCTTGTTAATTGATTGGAGAAGGATTATTTGTTTGAAAATTTTTACATGAAAGATTGATAGCTTGACAAAAACAAATGATATGGCAAAAAATTTTGTCTACATAATTCCAAATCATCCCACCAAAAAAATAAAAAATTCCCTTTTTTTAGCTTTTTTTTTTTTCCTTCCTCTCTTTCTTCTTTCCCTTTCTCTTTCCTCTTCCCTTTCTTCACCTTCTACAAATCCTAACATCTCAACCAAAAATTTCTTCTTATTTTGCCACTTCACCCTTCTCATCTCTGATTCCATTTAAACCAAAGTGAAATGAGAAGAAAGATAAAGAGGAAGAAATAAGAAGATGGTGGATTTGAGTATCAGTAACTCCAAGTTGCCAGTTAAAAGGGGAGGGACGTTGAATCAAACCAAAAATGTAAAGAAATCAACAAATGCTAATAACAATAACAGCAATTTAGGAGATCTAAGGTCAAGATTGTCAACTTTTTAGACTGCATGCCCGTACTATTGCAGGTTGTTCAAGTATCTTAGGGTTTACGAAGGTTGCTATTTGAAGTGCCAAAGTTGCAATTAGGTGTTCCGAACAGTGTTGATTCACAATTTGCAACCCATGGTGCCCAGAATAGATGCCTATTACTACTGCTAGGCGTTTTTCCCCTTAGGATTTGTGATGGGAAACCCGAATGGTGATGGAAAAGCCCTTGCTAGAGCAGGGGCCGAGTTTTCCAATTATGTGCCACTAATGTTTCCATTGCAATAGGAGTGTAAAAGATGCTAGTGGTTGTGCTATTACTGCATCAACGCCTCCTACCATGATAGCTAGTAAAGGAGCAAAAGGGGAAATAAGAAGAAAATTTTGGTTAAGATGTTATGGTTTATAAAAGGTGAAGAAAGGGAAGAGGAAAGAGAAGGGGAAAGAGGAAAGAGTGGAAGAGGAAAAAAAAAGGCTAAAAAAGAGAATTTTTTTGGGTGGGATAAGTAAGAATTACGTGGACAAAATTTTTGGTTATGTCATTCATTTTTGCAAGCCATCAATCTTTTGTGTAAAATTTGTAGACACGTAATGCTTCTCCCATCAAGTAATAAGCTACGTTAGCAAAAAAATTAACGGAAGGACCAAGTTAAGGCCAAAATATGAAACTTTAGGGATTAACTTACAAATTTTTTAAGTTGAGGGACTCACTATAGGGCCCATACAAAAGTTGAGGGACCAAATGGGGGTTTAACCTAAATGATACACAGGCATCTGTTAACGTTTCCAGCCTTCAGAGAAGAATAAACATATGATTTCAAGAAGAAACGAATGACCACTATGATCAATCAATTATTTTCATCTAATTATTAAATTTATTCAGTGAATTAAAAGGATTATGTACAAGTAAATGGGCTTACCACCACATCAGAAAATGAGATGAATGAAATTTTATGTATAGATAAAACCAAACTTCCCAGAATAGGAAAACCCACTGGACATTTTAGCTGCTGATGTCAAAGTACTTGGGGTTCGATGGAAAATCATATTCCACACGTAACTGCAATGTGAAGATATTTCATTAGACAGGTGGGATTGACTTTAAGGTATAGAATGCAAAATCTGCAAGCACTAGGATCGACCATAACTTCATCATAGAGCAAACAATAGATATCTTGGTAACCCTACATATCCCAACTTGAAGGAAAGAAGGAAATTGTGTTTTCCATTAAGTGTGTGAAGCAGACGTAACACCCTTCGGTTGAATTCTAGCCCAATCTTTCAATACTAGAATATGATCAAGATAATCTTTGTACATAAGTCAAGAGCCATCTTAATTTGTTTGTGCCTAACAACCATGCCTAACCACATTTACCACAGTAGCCATTCAAATATTAAGGCAAGTTTTAAATTCTTCTCCTCCCTAAATGGAAAACACTGAAACTAGTAATAACAACTGATTCAGGAAAACTTTAGTATAGCTAAAGATCAAAACATCAATTGGCCATTAGGTGGAAGGAGGGAATCCAACAGATGCCAATATAAGCATGCCTAACAAGTGCCATGCTTGTGTTTCTAAGAAGATAGAACTTAGAAGCAATTAAGCAGAACTAAGAACATGCACCATATGCAAACGAATATTGTACCTGGCCCTCATCAGTGTCTGACTGACGTTGCGGGAAAACCACCCTCATATCACTATATAAGTAGAAGCGTCTCTCCCCTCCAATGTCCATTCTTCTTGCTGGTGTTGACAGAGGATCTGAGTTGCACCTCTGGAAAGATTTTGAACATTTTTTTGGGAAAGGGCATAAAAACCGGAGCTGAAGTGCATAGCGCAGGACACCAGCACCGGTAGAGTTTTCATTGACCTTTGATGAGTTATGTACAGATTTTCTTTGTTTTAGAAGGCAGAGGTTTGATGGGCTATTGTTTTCACCAAGTCTTTTATGTTCACTGCTGTTCAAGCTACTGGACTGATTAGCTTGGGGCAAAATAAGACTAGAGCCCTCAATTTCCATACACTTCATATTATGAACATCATTTCTGTCATAGCAATTGTGACTAAGAGATGACAAGTGACTAATATTTTGAATGGAAGATTCTTTGGCATCATTCATTTCCTCAAAACCTTTATGACATCTCCCTGATATATTAGCGTCTCCACAAGACACTAAAATGATCCTTTGACGCAGAAATGTCTATTTGAAAAAAGAAAAATGGTCACTATAGAAATCTCAGTTCAAAATGGTAATAAATTAAACATCAAATGGTAAAAAAATCACAGCGAACTAAAGATTATTAACCATACTTCATGCATTTCTAAAATAGGACTAACACAGATTGAAGGTCTAAACAGCCACAGAAGAGTATGCTTCTTGCTACTTATAGGCAAAGACAACAACAAGAAAAATAACAATTTTCAATGACATATTATAAAAAGGATGCTGTTGGTAAGTTATTTCCGAAATTTACAGCAACTATAAGAATGGAGATTTTATGAATCTGGATATCTAAGATGCTGCTCATGCAGACAGAATCCAAGCAGTATCAATAATCTATAAGGTCATGTATTTTTCAACTGAGACCTACCTTGGTGCCAGCTGGCATGTCACTCAGATCATAGTTACAAATGAAGGTGTGAATGGGTGTCTTTTCAGGGTTGCTCAGTACCTGCCAAAACCAATTACCTCTATCAGTTATTCGCAAGTAACTCTCCAACCATACCACAATCTTTAAATTTTGTAGATCTAAAAATGAAAAATAACTAAATACATGTGAATCAAAATGTGGAAGTTTGCCCTGAACTATATCTATAATGTTTCAACTTTTATCTTGCAATTTTGCAGAATGGAGACCTAGTTCAAAACGAATCAAAGAGTACCTAGTTGGAGGTGGGGTAGGCAGCTAGGACAGATCCATATTAAAACTTGATGGTGTAAGGTTCTAAGAAAACATTAATTACCAATTGTATCCGCCCCTTCACAGGTACACAAAGGCGGCTCTTTTCTGTGGGTGAATCATCCATGCTAAGACTCCTTTTTGTTTTTGGGCTACTATTCTTGTTTCTTGATGCATGCCTAGAAAGAACTATTGATGAATAGTAAAGCAAGTAGTTATCTCCATCCACACTAGTTACCCCAAATGGAAGCTTTTGTAATTTAGGTGAGAAATCACCCCCAGTAATGTTGAGAACTGCAAGAAATCCATCAATTCTCTGCATACAAGTGACAAAAATAAAGTTAAAAAGAAGTTCTCAACCATAGGATAATTCTGGGGACAACCATGAATCAAAAATGGTACCTCATATTACAAGACATCAGTACTAACCTGATTAATTTTTGCAGATACCAACCGACCAGATAACAAGGACTCCTCAAATGAACCAACCAAGGACCTCCTGTCAGGCACTCCACTAAGACTCCTAACCAGTTTGCTATTTTTAGGAGTTAGGTTTACATCCTGACCTTCATTCTGAGCAATGTATGTGGTAAACTCAGGTCTACACATATCAAACTTTTTCTTCAAATTTTCAAAATCATGCATCAGTGTACCAGAGAACCGAAAATCCTTATCCTTCTGGTCTGGGATGGTTCCATTAAGAGAATTTTCCATATCCTTGAAGGTCATACAGACATCATCTAGTTCTTCAGCAGTCTCCCTGCATTCTCCAGCAGAATTCATTCTTTCGGTAAAATTTGGACCAAGGGGAGACAAGGGTGGTGAGGCAGCTTTCTTAGCAGGTATCATTATAGCCTGTGACTGGTACCTTTCTTTAGTTGTTTCTGCAGAATGGTTAAGTCCTGAAGAAAATGAAAAATGACTTTGGGGTTGCACTATCTCATTCTCAAGCAGAGGACCATCATTGAAAAGAACGGAGTTTGCTTGACAACAATCCTCTGGTGATTTACTCCATTCAGGAAAACAAGATGTTGACTGCACTGGAGGGTTTAAAACACTGGAGTTACCAATATGAGCTTTCTTATGTTCTTGTGATAATGAAATGCTGCATTTACCATTTTCACCTCCAAAATCACTTGGATAGATACGGTGTCCAATGTCAAAGGCATTACCATCAAACTGATTGCAGTGAAGCATTCCATTCAAAGGAGATAATAGGCGCTTCCTGATCAATGATCCATTGGTCTCAGATGTACTACCTCTATTGGGAGCAACAGTTGATGAATTTTGGTTTCCATTAAATATATCATCTGGAGAATGCATGCAATTCCTTGTTTCAAAATGCATAATCCGAGGAACAAGTGCCTGAATATTCTGTCCATTTTTTTCCATGATGCCAATCTTCAGCCTTTGTATGTTGGGTCGAACATCTTTATGCATATTCAAAGTGTCAGGATCCTTCAGCTGCTCCCCAATAGTTTTCCGTTGCAAATCTCCAAATTTTGATTTTGGCAAGTCCACCAGCATTTGATTTCCCACGTTTCCTCCATGCATCCTAGTTAAATCACAGCTGCTCACACCCGAGAGGCCAGGTGGGTGATGTACAAATGTGCTCAGTGATGCTACTACTTCCTCTGCAATACCATTGGAGGAAACCTGAGGCAAACCCATCTCTACTACTGACTATTGAGAATATTATCCTTCTAAATTTCCAAGTGGTCCTTTCTTGTTACCTTAACAACTTTATGCACCATGATGCCAATTGTAGTCAATGTCAATTTTCCAATGTGTCAAAGGAATTGAACTTGCTCAATCTTATTAATATCATCCATTCCTACAGAGAGGAAAAGGCAACACTAGCTATTCTAATTCTAACTATAGGTTGAAGTACCATCATCCATCTGTCACCAGGCATCCGATTACCCATCTGATAGTGCTAAAGAACTTGAGCAGACTCCAGTTATCAAAAGAGAAGGGAACACCAAATCTCACTTTTATGCAGGCAAGAAATGACAAACTGCAGGAGGTTAGGAGCTTTCTAGATTCCAATGCACTATCCTGCAACAACAATGAAAATACCAGCAAGTGATGAGTGGACATTACAATAGAGACCCAACTAATTTGTATGTAGCACTTCAGTATCTGTCCTTTATGTTTTCATTGTCAATCACACACCCACACCCAAAAACAAAAGAACCTACAATCTCCTCTTGACCTCAAGAAAGCTAGACACAAAAAGAGAACCTAGATACCATTCAACTTAAATCCCTTTTAAAAACAATGAGAAGAGAAGTGATCCACACCCAACCAAGCACATTAAATAGCTATATTAGCTTTTCTGTTAAAAGTTTGTTTCCTTTTTTTGAAATTAAAGATAAAAATGAATATTTTTTGGTGTAATAGATTATCTCTGAAGATGACTTTGTCAGATTAAATATTACCATATCCTTGGATGATACTTCTTGAAAACATCAAATTCGTTAGGAGTGATTCTGAACATACCATGGTCATTTCTGATTCTCCCATCAAAAATCCAAAACTCACTCCAGTGGAACAAATAATTCAACAACAATGTATCAACAGGAACCGTTATCATTGCAATCAAGTCCCAGCTCAGTTAGTTGATCCAATAAACAATTGTAGGGAACAATCGATGAAAAAAGTATGGGTTCATCTTCTAGGTACCCCCAAACGTCAAAGAAAACCCAAAAGGCCAAAACCATTCCTTTCCCATCAGAATTTCCAAAAACTTAAGTTTGGAAGATCAATATTATATTGATTTCTTTGAAAGCCAAAACCTTGCACTTTCTCCCCTCTCAATTTTTCCAGGAACCAAGCAGATGATTGTTAAGAACATAGAACAACATCAAGAGGGTCAACCCAAAGATACAATTTTTAATATCATTCAAGCTAAAACATCAAAATCCCATAGAAAATAAATAACAAAAAGTTGAGAAAACAAAACAAAGAAACGCACCAGTGAAGCTCCTGACCATCTACTTCCAAATGAACAAGACCCTGCTCTAAATCTTCCAACCCAAAATCCACCAATTTGTTTGGCAAACAAAATAAATAAATCCACAAATCGATGAAGACTACAATCTACGGAATCAAGAACCCATGTGTCTCCTTTTTATCCCGAAGGTTTTTTTCTTTTTCCTCCTCCTTCCAGTCTCTTCCTTTGTCCCTGCACTTGCTGGCGTTTCCATCTAGAAGAACTTCCCTTTCTCTGTTTCTCTATATACCCATAAATCTCCATGTGGGGTACATCTTTCTCCATCCGTTCCTGCTTCCTGGTGTACAGTGTTGGACAATTGATGTAGGCCTCCCAAATTTTAAAAAAAGCAAAAAAATTAGGTCTCGTTCCTCCACCAGAATTTATTGGGTGGCTGAGCTTGTTTTGTCTTTGGTTTGGAGGCCCACATGCACGCTGCGGGTATGTGTCATTTGTCTTTGTCTACGTTACATTGTTTGGTTTTGGCATATTAGCACCATGTGGAACATTGGAATTGGAT